GTGGGAGCCAGTGCAAGGAGAGGAGCCCAGTGAGCAAGGCAAAGGGACGATGTCAGACCCAGGGGCTAAGACCCCCATCTGCAGCCGGGCAGCTTCTGGAGTGGACAAGGAGCAGCAGGGAAGGTCGTGGCCTGGTGTTCTGGGGTCCACTGTCGCATCTCATTCTGTTGGTGTCAGAATTTGTCCAAATGGAGGACTCAGTGTCTCTGGAAACAGTAGGCCAGAGACAGAATGTGTTTCAGAAAAGGAGGAAGGAATTGTACATCGTGGAAACAGAATATGGTTTTACAGTAGTGCGTCTCTCTCTAATAACTAGTTAGCGTGTTCCTGTTAATGGAAAATATTGGTGGTGTAAGTCCTCCTGGATCTTCTCATCGTTGTGTAAGTTTATTTGTTCCCCCTTCCTCCCCTCTTCCTTCCCTCCCCTCCTTCCTTCCTCCCCTTCTTCCTTCCTTCTTTCCTTCCTGCCTCCCTCCCCTCCTTCCTTCCTTTCTTCCTTCCTTCCTTCTTTCCATCTTTCCCTCTTTCCTTCTTTTCTTCCTTCCTTCCTTCCTTCCTCCCTTCCTCCCTTCCTCCTTCCCTGCCTTCCATCCTTCTCTTTTCTTTTTCTTTCTCTCTCTCTCACTCTCTTTCTTTCTTTTAAACTTTTTTGAATAGACCACACTGTACTGAAACCCACATTATTTACCAAAATCTCTGGAGCTGCTTCTGTCTTTCAGGCAGGGATGTCATCCTGTATCCCTCAGCCCCTCCCAGCCTCCTTCTCTTTGGATTTGTCGGTGCCCCTGGGGCTGCTGCTGAGTCTCAGATGTTTCTAGCGTTCCTTAAGTTCTGCCCACCTGGATGGTTTGTCCCTGTCCTTACCAGACGCCTGCACTGTCTAGATCACTGAGGCTGCTTCCGTCTAACTGATCTGCCGTCTGTATTCCGAGGGCACCCCAGCAATAGAGGCAAAAGGCACAGGCATTGAAATCTCCAGCTGCTCTGACTCTAGGTTGGTGCACTTCCATGCCAAGTACTAAGCACACAAGAACCGGATGCCACCAAAACCTGATTTGGGTCTGCTGCCTCCTAATTTCAAAACACTTAATAGACATTATTTTTCAGAGCAGTTCTAGGTTTACAGATAAACTGAGTAGATAGTACGGAGAGTTCTCCTAGGCTCCCCTGACTTCCAGCACACAATTTTCCTATTAGTATGTTGTATTAGTGTGGTCCATCTGTTACAATTGATCAACCAATATTGATACATCATTAGTAACTAAAGTTCATAGTTGACATTAGAGTTCATTCTTCGAGTTTTCACAGATTGAGTTTTGACAATTACATAATGTCGTAAATCCCCAATACAGCATCATGCAAAATAGTTCCACTGCTGAAGATTCCCTGCGCTTCACCATTTCAGGCCTCCTCTCCTCCACCCCTGACAACCACTCATCATTTCACTGTTTCTGTCTTTTTGACTTTTCAGGAATGTCCTACAGTTGGAATCAAAGTATAGAGGTTTCTGTCTGGCTTCTTGCTCACATGATGGACTTAAATTTCCTCCATGTCTTTTTGTGGCTTGATGGCTCATTTTAAAAAGTCACTGAATTAGATTTCATGGTATGGCTACAACAGTTTGTTTATTCATTCATGTGGTGAAAGACATCTTGGTTCTTCCAAGTTTTGACACTGATGAATAAAATTGCTGTAAGTACTTTTGTGCAGGATTTTGAGTGAACTTCAGTTTTCCCAAGTGACTGTACCATTTTGATTTTCACTAGCTATGGAGAGTTCTGGCTGCTTCTCATCTTTGACAGCATTTGGTGTGTTTACCTTTTTGCATTTTAGCCATTCTAATAGGTTTACAGTGATAGCTCGTTGTTTTAATGTGCAATTCCCTAATGACCAATGATTTTGAGCATTTTGTATATGCTTATGTGCCATCTGCGTATTTTATTGGTGATGTGCTCAGATCTTTCACCTATTGTTATTATTTTTTTGCCTTGTGTTGTTTAGTTCTCAGAATTCTTCATATATTTAGGACAGCAGTGTTTTATCAGATTATTTTGTAAATATTTTCGCCGGTCTTTGGCTTGCCTTTTCCATTATCTTCACAGTGTCTTTCACAGAGCAGAAGTTTTTCATTTTTCCAAGGCTCAACTTTATTTTTTTCATTTGTGGATTGTCCTTTTGGGTGTTGTATCTAAGAAGTCATCATTGAACCCAAGCTCCCGAGCTCTTCTCCTGTGCGATCTCCTGGGATTCTCATGGTTTTGCACCTTACATTTAGGTGTAAGATTCATTTTATAAAGGGCATAACATGCACACCTTGATTGATTGATTGATTGATTTTGCATTTGGTTGTCTAGCTGTTCTAGCACCATTATTTGGAAAGGCTATCCTTGCTGTTTTAAATTGTCTTTAACCCTTTATGAAAGATCAGTGGACTGTATGTAGGCCTGTTTCTGGGCTCTGTATACTTTTCCATAGACCTTATTTGTGTGTTTTTCCTCGTTTCACCAACTTCACGCTGTTTTGGTTTCTGTAGGTTTCTAGTAAGTCCTGAAGTTGGTAGTACCTTCAGGTTTTTTTTTTCTGAACTTCATCATGACAACCTGATCGAGACTGTTGTAGTCAAACTTGGAAATGTGTGAGATTCCCCCTTAGTTTGGTCTTCAGGGAGTTTTTAATGCTCAAGGCAGGCCACCCTCAGCTGCTAGTAATGTGTGAATATCATTTAAGTGCTCCTCCCAGTGGCTGGCCCCAGTAGCTTCTCTTCCTGGTGAGCTCTGATTCCTTGTGTGTTGGGCTGTCTCTCTCAGTTTTAGGGTGGCAGTTTTCCCTGTGACCTCACTTCTCTGGTCCAGCCTAGAAGAGCTGACTTTCAGTTTGTTCAGCTTTTCTGTAGCTGTGAGGATAAGCGATGACTCCCTAGCTCTTTCCATGTTGGAGTGGAAACCCAAAAGTTCATTTTAGAGTTACTTGTAATAAAAGTCACCCATTGTCAGTGTACAGCTTAATCATTTTAGGTGGATTTATAGAATTGTGCAGCCATCAGCAGAGTTCTATTTCAGTACATTTTTGTCACTTCCCCAAATTCCCTTGAGCCTCTTTGTAGCCGTTTCCTAATCCTTAGTCCCCGTGACTAGACCTGAATAGAATAAATATTTGGATAATGGACTTCATTATATTTACATTTTCATGTGTTTGGGACTTTATATAGTGGACAATTGTCTTCCTTTTCTGACAAATAGAGAAGAGATTGCATTCTAGGGATGTTTTTGGGGAAACATAACAGTAGTCCTGTTTATGGTTCTCCTTGAATTGGTTCATCTGTGCTGGTGAGTGGTACTTGCTACAAAAGCTTGTCTGGTGAGCACAAGGAAAGGAATCTTTAAAAATCGGCCATTAAAACAGAGATGATACATTTTCACATAGTCTTATGTGGAGTTAAGTATTAAACCATCTTTATTCTTTTTTTTTCCTTTTTTTTCTTTTCACAAAGTTTTTGCTTCATGCCCAGGCTGGAGTACAATGGCACGATCTCAGCTCACTGCAACCTCCACCTTCTGGGTTCAAGTGATTCTCCTGCCTCAGCCTCCTGAGTAGCTGAGATTACAGGTGCCCACCACCACACCCAGCTAATTTTTGTATTTTTAGTAGAGACAAGGTTTTACCATATTGGCCAGGTTGGTCTCTAACTCTTGACCTCAGGTGATCGCCTGCCTTGGCCTCCTAAAGTGCTAGGATTACAGGCATGTGTCACTGCACCAGGCCTGAAGCGTCTCTTTATTCTTTCAGAAATATGGTTGATAACAGTAAAGCCACACGCCTCATGTGCCTGAAATGCGCCACATTGTCTTCTTCAGGTGGGAAGCCCTCTGGAACAGCCACATAAAGGTGAGGGCAAGATTTTATTGTAGTTCTTTGATTGATTGATTGATTTTTGCTCTTAGAGGGTTTAGCATCCATGTATCTGAAATAGAATTCAAGAGTAGAGACAGGCACCTGTATTATTTTCTCCTGCTGCCTATTATCACATTACCACAAACCAGTGGTTTGAAGCCACAGAAGTCTGGAATGAAGCGGCTGGGTTTTCTGATCAGGGTCATGTGAAGCCACAATCTGGGAATGGGCTGGCTATGGGTTTTCTCTAGAGCTCAGGCTATTTTTCTGAGTTCACTA